TCTCGGATTATATCGGGTCTTCAAGATTGATCCTACTTACCTAAGTTTCTTGAAATTTTCCTATAAAATGAGACATTATGGAATTTGTGAGTTAATACCCAAATTGGAATGGAAATGGGTCAAATTGCATGAAAGGGAAGAAAAGTTTTCGAGTCTCGGTTTTGTATAGGCTGGTCGAGTTGGGTCGATCTAGCAAGTCAGAGCAGTACACACATGGGTTGGGTCAGTTACGAAGAAATGGATTGAGTTGGGTCGATCACCTCCTTCAACCTTCTTCTCGATTTCTCCCTCTCTCTTCATTGTGTTTCCCCTTTCCGAAAAATCGACCAAAATCCCTCAACGTCAAACTCTAGACACATGAAGACCCATGAGACACATTATGGTCTTGGGAAGAAAACAAAAAAGATGACATAACAACTCGAAGCTTACCGTCGTAGTTTCCTCGGTGATTCGAGTTCCTTCATTGCTACCCACAAGCTTCCGACTAAAAATGGGCCTCGTTTTTGTTGAAATAAAATTGCTCTAATACCAATTTGTAGAAAAATAAAGCCGCCCCGATACCAACTTGAGAGAAAAAGATACTCGCTCTGAATCTAACTCGTTTAGATAACTCTCACGAAACTTTAAAAGAGGGTGTCGAAAGGGGAGAGACAAGGAGACCAAGAAGTTCTCAAAAGGTTGTTTTTGTAGTACACATTGACTCGTTCTTTTCTCCCTGCCATTTACAACTATAGGTAAAGCTTTTTTTATAGTTTTTACTAAGAGCCATAACTTCCATCACTTTTCTCAGCCCATGAGTCATTTCTCTATTAAATTAGGTAATGGCATTTTAACCTAATTTAAATAAAATAAAAAAAAATCATAATTACTTTTTTTTCTCTCTCTCCTACATTTAAGTTTATTTCTCAACCAAACTCTCCCATAAACTTAAATGTTCTATTCAATGGTTCCACCTGTTTTCGTTTTCTCGAGCTCAATCGTGGTCTCTTCAACTTTCTCTTCTTGTCCTCGATCGGCAAACTAAGGTTGTCCTTCTCTAGTGAGACTTCATTTGGATTTTCTCGAGAACAGCCTATCTGTGACACCACCTCTTCATTTTTCCAATTCTCAACTACACTTACTCAAACTTCATGGCTTCGTTCAGTTTATTCAATTCCCTTCATAAGTCCACAACGACATTTACAGCTAGCATTCTTGTTTCCTCTAGTTTAGTTTTATCACGAGTGAGCGTCTCAATCGTGTGTCGTAAATTCACCACCTCCTGTTGGACTTGATGAAGGTTCACATCGAGTGAGTCTCTCTGTTGAGTCAGCATCTCTATATCTTTCTCCTTCATTTTCGAATCTACTTTTCTCTTCAAATCTTCAATAACCCTACCAGATTCATCCAATAACCTCTTAACAAATTTCTTCTAACAGATTCCGATTTATAATCTCACTCTCCATCTTTTCACCTGACAACTTGAGCATTTCACCTTCAACTCCTATGTCTCTTCCCAAGCCCTTTTCTCATTCTTCTCCATTTCAATCATTTTCTTTCTCAAATCTTCTATTTCCTCGAACAATCCAGAATTAGACTTAATTTCATCCCTCTCACAACAAACCTTCATTCATTTCTCCCTTTCTTCCTCAACTTTCAACACAAGCCCATTATTCTCATCTTTCAATCTCCCAATCTCCACATTCTCCAATCTCTCACTCTCAACTAACCTACAAATCCTATCTCCCACTTCATCCATTTGACTCTATTTCTTCTCATCGACATTCTTCTTCAAGTCGAGCTGCAAACCCTCTTTAGCCTGAATCGGAGCTCCAAACTCCTTTCTCTTCTCGTGTGTGTCCTTCAAAAATTGCTCGTTCAGCGATTTCAATGTCTACAACTGAGACTTCTCCACAGATTTATCTACAACAGTTTTGGGTTGTTCTTCTGAATCTCTGTTCTCCTCCTCATGATTTGACGGTATTGCAGCTTGCATTTGAACCATCTGTTTCTCATGTTCAATCTGCATTTCTGCCATCCTTTCTCTCCATTCCATTCTCTTTCTTCTTTCTTCCTCAAATTCTCTTTTCCACCATTGGAGCTCTCTCTCTTCGAGCTCAGGCTCTCTGTTCTTCGGTTGTTCATCCTTCTTCGATTTTCTCGTCTCTGATACCGCGATTTCGCCAAATCCGCTGCGTATCACTTCGTTTCTAACAACTTCCACTCCTCACGACTATCGCCATTGTCTTTCGTATCGCCGTCTCCTTTTTTGTTTGGCTCTTCATTTTGAGCCATCAAGAGGATGCCTCCACTTGTTGTGTCATCCAAGGCTAGGTTGATGGTTTCTTCCACCTTCTCTTTGGCTCGACAATCTCTCGCATAGTGACTCATTCTGCCACAGTTGTAGTATCTATCAGAGTTACAATTATTTGCATAGTGGCTATATTTCTAACATTTAAAGCACTGGATGTTGAAATTGTATCCTTGATCGTGCCCTTGATTGCGTCCTCTTCCACACCAATTTGCTTGGCTCGACAGTCTCTTCTCCTAGTAGTTTTCTGTAACTATTGTCTTGGCCACCTCGACCATTCCCGCGGCTTTCTCGATCTCTACCTCGAAAATTTTGAGAGTAGAGTGTCTTTTCATCCTTTATTAATTCCTTCATCTGAAGCGCTTGTTCGAGCGGCTTCTCCTTCTTTTTCTTGCGTTGCTCGTGTACCTCGAGAGAACCGACAAGCTCATTGACTGTGAACTTCGCTAGGTCCTTAGCGTCCACAAGTGTGGAATAAAGAAGTTGTGAGCCTATAACTTTTATACCAGAGTTATGTCATTATCTCAACCTAGTCATGTCAATAGAGTCCACAAGTGTGGAATAAAGAAGTTGTGAGCCTTAAACATGTAGTCATAGTGAAGATCCATGGTTCTCAAGAGAAGTAGATATGATTTTTTAAAGGAAGACTCAATAGTGTACATTTGGGGAAACTAAAAGTATCATCATTGTGAGCTTAGGCTGAAAGTAGATAACATTATATCAATGTAGATGTTCATTGTTCCTATCAGGCTAGTCCAACTAAACCAGCTTGGTCATGCCCTTAATGATAGTTAGGTATGCATGTATTTTGTTTGCTATGTGTTTATCGGGATGATTGGGCATATATGAAAATGTTATTTTGAAATGTTCATGGGACCTCTGGTGTGTATTGAATGATATGACATTTGGGAAATAAAACTATGGGATTAATTGTACCACCATGATCACGGGAATTGTCATTTTAAGTTTGATTAGGGTCATAGGTTAGAAGATCATATTTGAAGTCAAGGTCATAGGGTTGATGATATAGGGTTATAACGACCACCATGTGTATTTAACGACCACAATGACATTGACAATCCTAGTCAGTTTAGTTCAAAATGTATTCAATTTTTTTTTTTTTTAATGATTAATATATATACATATGATAAAATAAAGTTTAGAGGTTAATATGAAATTGAAAATTGAAAATAAAAATAATCAAATTAAATTTTAATAAACAAATCGGGAGGGAAAATGAGTGAGAGATGGACGCTTCCCTCCCATTTTCCCTTACATTTCCTCTATTTTCCTCCTTCCATTGTCATTCTCTTTTCAGAAGAAACTTCACCGTAAGCTTCTTCAATCTTCGTCTTTGAATTCCATTTCAGATAATAAATTCACCTTACTCTTTCTTCAGTTCACAGTTCTTTCGTTTTACGAACTGATTAATTTGGCGTCGCCCGATGCAAGGAAGAGGAAGTTTGAAGCGAACCGCTCGCTGGATGTTTTTCCTGCTGGAATCCGCCTCCGATTGGCGGATTTTACTTACTTGACGATTATTCAGATTTGCGTTCTGATTTGGAATTGGTTTGGATTTTGAACTTGACTGATTGTTGTTCTAGCTTATTTGTAGAATGCGTCTGGAGTTTGCGCTTTAGAATTTGTGATTAGGTTTTGGTTTATTCGCGAGGTAGACGACAATGGAAGGATTGAAGTCGGATGTGCATTATTGCAGTGTTTAATTCGTACGAAGGAATATCAGAGAGAGGCCATGAGGTACTTCGTTATGTCAGAATGGTCTATTTATTTTGATTCAGTACTTTTCTATTTTATTTTATGGCAATCATTAACTTGAATAATATTATCTCATTGTTTCACAAGGAACTAAGCCAGCGTACCAACAAATTTGGTACTTATTTCTTGATTGTATAAATGTAATGGTGAATTTTATTACATCAAAATAGGTATCTCCAAGCACATATGTTGTTTATTTTATTTAGTTCGTTATTTTGGAAATAATATATTGTTCCAATTGATGGGGATTGTATATTTAGGAGGAAAAGAAAAAAGTTTTGAGTTAATAATTTTGTATGTTGTACATACGTCTGTGTTGGTTTGTTAGAATTACAAATTTGGTGACGAAAAGCAAAAGAAAACTAGAGTTTGAGTTGAGTATCCCTTGTTGGATGATGAAAGTCCCACATCGGTTAATTTAGGGAATGATCATGGGTTTATAATCTAAGAATACACTCTCCATTGGTTTGAGGCCTTTTGGGGAAGCCCAAAGCAAAGCCATGAGAGCTTACGCTCAAAGTGGACAATATCATACCATTGTGGAGAGTCGTGTTCGTCTAACATGGTATCAGAGCCATGCCCTAAACTTAGCCGTGTCAATAGATTGGCAAATCCTTAAATGTCGAACAAAGGACTCCAAAAGGAGTCAAGCCTCCTCGAAGGTACGAAGGCAGTCAAAAATGACTAAGACTCCAAAGGAGTCGAGCCTCGATTAAGGGGAGACGTGCTTTGTTCGAGGGGAGGTGTTGGATGATGAAAGTCCCACATCGGTTAATTTAGGGAATGATCATGGGTTTATAATCTAAGAATACACTCTCCATTGGTTTGAGGCCTTTTGGGGAAGCCCAAAGCAAAGCCATGAGAGCTTACGCTCAAAGTGGACAATATCATACCATTGTGGAGAGTCGTGTTCGTCTAACATCCCTGTGTTGTTGGGCTTCAATTGCCAACACTTCCAACCAACGCCCGTATTTGAGGCGTCCCACCCACTCAGCTTTCGTGTGGTCACACATGGTGGGTGGTGGCGAAAAGAGAAAGATTTAACTTTTCCGTTTCCCCTGGCTTAAAGAAAGCATAAAAAGTAGAAGATCTTAGATATAAAAAAGTGGAAAGATGAAGCTATCAATCATCGAAACGCCAACAAATGGATCCATCTCTTTTAGCCGTCTGCCCCTTCCTCCTTGCTTTCTTTCCTGCTACTTATCTCTACACCCTTATGCTGCTACCACGTTAATTTAAAACCAAAACTCTGTCTTTCTCAATATGTGAGTGTGTTAGGTAGTAGGCCATAGCTCCCACTTATTAACTCATTTCTGCTTTTCTAAGCACAGATATTTGTCTTTCTCTGTATACAATACCACATGGTATGGGCGTGCATGTATATATTTTACTAAAATAAAACCCCATCCACCATTCATCGTATGTTATTTCCTTTTTTGGTTAAACAATACAAACTCGAGATTCCTGCTTGCTTCTTTCTGTCTTCTTTCGTCTTCTTCTTCACTCCTAACTTTTGCTTGCTCTTCCAACTCCTGCACTTACAGTCGGACTTCTACACAAGCGTAGGAAGGTACGTTTTGTGCCCATCAAAAACCTTCAAACATATTTTAATAAACTCGTATGATATCAAGAGTTGAATTCTTTAGGCTCTTCTTCTACTCTACTTTCTTATTCATTGGAGGTCTGTCTGCCTTGTTGATGTAGGCGATGGGTTCATTGGTAAATTTTATAACGTGGGTTTCTCTTTTGTTCTTGGTTTGATCGAGTGTTTCCGTGCAGCTTCTACCCCTCGTCGATTAGATTCTAAAAATTAATTTCGTTGGAACAAATGGGAGACGAAAACCCAGATGCTTCTTCAAACAAAGCCCCCTCTGTTTCTCAGGTATAGAAACGGACCTGCAACTTAACTCAATCCCAACCTTTTTTCGGGTTTTGTTCAAGGTTTGAATATCCCTAAACCACTAATTGCTGCAGGTGGTAGAACAGTTGAAAGAGCTGTGGGGTATGACCTTACCGGTAACTACCATGAACTTCTTGGTATTTCTTAGGCAGGTGGTCTCTGTCATGTTCTTGGGCAGAATTGGTAGCCTGGAGTTAGCAGGTGGTGCACTTGCAATAGGATTTACAAATATCACAGGCTATTCTGTTATGGTGGGTTTAGCTGCTGGGTTAGAACCCATATGCAGCCAAGCCTACGGAAGCAAAAATTGGGATCTCCTCTGTCTTTCTCTGCAACGCATGATCTTAATCCTCCTCGTTGCAACCATACCCATCGCCGTTCTCTGGATCAATCTCGACAACATCATGGTATTTTTAGGCCAAGATCCACAAATCACAGGGATGGCGGCTATTTACTGTATCTATTCTCTTCCAGACCTTTTAACAAACACCTTGCTGCAACCATTAAAAACATTTTTAAGGTCACAAAAGGACACGAAACCCATGATGTATTGCACTCTAGTAGCAGTTGGCCTTCATGTGCCTCTGAACTACATGATGGTGGTGGTGCTTGGGTTGGGAACGCAAGGAGTGGCGATAGCTTCGGTGCTAACAAATATGAACATTGCGGGATTGATGTCAGGATACGTGTGGGTATGGGGGAGGAAAGGTGAGATGAGATGGACGTTGAAGGTGGGAGAGGTTTGTGGAGGCGTGGGGCCGGTGCTGAAGTTGGCTGTACCGAGTTGCTTGGGAATATGTTTGGAGTGGTGGTGGTATGAAATAGTGACAGTGTTGTCTGGTTATTTGTCCAACCCAACGTCGGCTGTGGCCGCCACTGGGATTCTCATCCAAACTACAAGCATGATGTACACAGTACCCTTGGCTCTCGCTGGTTGCGTCTCCGCCAGGGTAAGTTTCCTCTCCAATCTCTCAAAATTCTTTGCGTATTATGAAATTGTTAATTTTGACAAGTAACATGCTAGTTCATCATGTCAAATAAGGCAAACCAATTATATTATGCTTGCTTGTTTAACATTTCTGTCAATTGTACAGTTTTTCAGTCATTATCGGTCATGGTCAACTGATAAAAACCTTCAACTCGGTAAAATTATATACCGACAAACTTGCATCAATAACCCACGTCAGATTCTAATCCTATATTTTTTTTTGATATGGAACCTTTCATTTTCAGCCGTCTCTTTCTCCTTTGATTGGTTATTTTGTTTTCTTACACGGATGTATATGTACTCCATATCTTCAAAAAGGCATGAGATGCTTAATGCGTTTTCCCACTTTAGATTAGACTTTAGTGGTTCTTACTCTGGAGGTGATCGGTCTCTGTCCACCGCTGCCCGTGCACGGGTACTTCTCTCTATAGGTACCACACTCTTCTTTCCCTGTATTTTAAACAAATTGTTTCGCTCCTTCATCTTCACCGCGAGACCACCCATCAGTTAGTTATCAAGCTCTGTTTCAAGAGCTTGCCATTTTTCTCCAGACCAACGTTCTATCTCTACACTATAGATCTTTCATCACTCAGCGGTATAGGGGCCTTATTTTTTCTCTCATCGAATCAATGTTTTACTAATTCTAACACCAATTTTTCGATTCGTATTTTCAGCAGTTTGATTCAAGTAAAAGGTATTTGTTCTTCAAATTGAAAAGGGGGAAGTTCTTTTGTTCATCTTTTTCATCAGTGGGAGCTGGATTCTTCCGTCGTTTTTGTTTACCCGTTGTTTCCGTGTTCTTGTTTCATTTCTTGAGAAAATTTCTTCAAAACAGTTCCTTAAGTTGGAAAAACTGGCAAAATCTGGACCCAAATTCTTCTTCACCCCTAATTCCTGTGTTTCAGATGTAGAAAGAACCTAAAATGAATCTTGCTCTCTGAATCTAGAGCTTGAACTAATGATGGGTGATGACAAAGGTGTAAGCTGTAAAGGGCTTATGCAGCAGCCTTCTAATGTACAGGGTTGGAGAACTGGGAAGGAGGTGGGTGTGCACGTGTACGGAGGGATAGAGGTTTGGCTCACTGATTATGATATAGTAGGAATATTGGTCGGTTTGTTATCCATCATGTCAGCATCCGTTGAAAATAACGTAGAGTCCAGAGCACTACAGTGCTATTTATGGAGCAAAATCAGGGTGTGAAAAATGAGAGTATGTGTTATTTAAGTAATTGGCACAACTCACTACTCTGCTTGGTAAGGTATCTTACATGAAATTGGAGGGACATATCATATTCTCACCGCACCTAGGGCTCTTTGATTGCATATCTATTTCATTTTTCAGTAAATTTCTGGTATCATGGTAGCATGTGATATTTTTCATACAGGTGATTCTTACAATTTAGCCAAAAAGAAAAAAAAAAAATCATCCATAGCAAAATAGTGTTGCTAAGTTACAGACCACTCTACTAAGCAACCTAGTGAATCAACAACATTGGTGTTTGATAGGTCCTAGAGAATAGTTAAATTACATTTGTATGTGATGTGACAAGAGAGAACAAAAATAGGAGGCACTTTAGATTGGTTGTATCTCACTGTAAAAAAGAGGGTTCACCTGGAAGAAAGCTTTGTGATTTGATTGATGTAATAAAAATAGGTTTTATTGGGATATGATGATATGATCTGATGAGATTGGGCAGGTAGGGAACGAGCTGGGAAGTGGAAAGCCGAAGAAAGCGAAGGATGCAGCGGTGGTGGCATTGGGATGTGCATTTGTAATAGGCGGAATCAACGTGACGTGGACGGTGATTCTGAGGCGCACATGGGCCAGGCTTTTCACAGACGATTCGTTGGTTCAATCATTGGTGTCTTCAGCTTTGCCAATCATAGGCCTGTGTGAGCTTTGGAACTGCCCCCAGACCACGGGATATGGCATCCTGCGTGGCACTGCCCGCCCTGCTGTGGGCGCTCGTATCAACTTGGGGTGTTTTTACCTGGTGGGCACCCCTGTGGCTGTGGGGCTGGCCTTCGGGGTTAGAGTTGGGTTTGTTGGGCTTTGGTTTGGGCTGCTATCGGCCCAGGTCGCCTGTGCTGTGTCCATGCTCTACGTGGTTCTGGCGAAGACTGATTGGGAGGGTGAGGCCTTGAAGGCGAAGAAGCTGACTGGTTTGGAAATGAGTGCCACCACCAATGGCAATGGTGCAGAAGAGGAAACCAAAGAACTGCTGGTTCATGAAAATGGGCATCAACATATTGCGTTGTAGGGTAGGGAGAGCGACAAATGATGTATAGATTGGGCGTTGTTGGTTGGGTTTAGGCTTTGAATCAGTGCTGCTGGCAGCTATCTATTTCTTATTTTGTTGCCTCTCAAAACCTTTTCTTTTTTCTTTTTTCTTTTTCTTTTTCTTTTTCTTTTTCTTTTTTTCCTGTTTCGGAGAGAATTTTAAATTATTCCAAATCCCCTGCACATAAACAAATAACAACAACAATAAAAATCAGCGGCGACAATGATTAACTCAAGCCACCATCGCCGGTTATCAGTAAAGATCCACGCCGATCGTTGGGGGCTGAGGTCTGACTGGCTACCCTCCACGGTGCAGTTGGGGTCCACGGTTTGGCGCCATCCAATGGGCTTCGCCGGAGGTTACGGTGTGTTGATTGTGCCGGCAAAGGATGAATTACACAAAAAGAGAACTCAGCCCAATCGGGCCGTACTGGGCTGACTGTCGCAGGCCGGGCCTCTACCGGGCCGCGCGTCCAGGTGGGCCCGAGCTGGTCGCGCACCCTTGATAGGCCGCGCGAGGGAACCACAACCTCCCTCTTCCCCGTTTTCCTTTTCTCCTTCCCTTACCTCTGAAATCGCCGACTCTTTCCCCTTCTGTCTCCCTTCTCGATTCTCTCTGACAGTCACTGCCCTTAAACCTCGTACATCCCACACGAAACTTCGATCTTCTGTCTCTCTCCGTTCACAAACGACTCAAGGTTTCCGGCGTTCTCAGGTGCCCTTCTCTCTTTTTCATTTTTTGTAAAGTGGCCTCGAAAATCAGCGGCTGAGTGCTCCTTTCACCGCCAAACTTCTGACCCAACGCCGACGGCAGTGTACGGTGGTGTCCGCCACACGTTTTCCCCCCCTTTTTGAGCTTTGTTTGAAATCAGGCGATTATCCGTCTTCTTTCCTGGGTGGGCATATTTTGTTAGAAAAGTTTGAAGAATTGAAGAATGGTGAGTTTTAAGAACCGATACTTGGTGTTTGAAGTTGTGTTGGATCCCAATAAAGACGTTGCAACAGATGATCCTATTATCATTACCCAATATAATGTTTCAAAAGCAATCAAGGACAGTATTCTTCTCAACTTCGGGGAGTGTGGCTTTGCTTCCTCACTTGGATCTTTTCAAGGTACATAAACTGTGTCTTTCTAAACAACATAGCGACCTCTGTATTTGTATAGCCTAATATTTGTTCTTGCCTTGGTGTTTATGTAGTTAAGTATGTAAATCCAATCACAAAGCTGTGTATCATTAGAGCCTCTAGAGAGGACTACCAGAATGTATGGGCTGCAATTACAATGGTGAGGAGTATCAGCAATTGCCCCGTTGTATTTAATCTACTGGACCTAACTGGTAAGTTTTTTGGTTAGGATCATCGTTTATGTTGCTGACTTCCAATTTGGGTATACACAATTGTGCTCGTGCTTCAAGAATATAATCAGAATATGAATTTTGAACTTGTAAATGAGTATTAAGTTTAAACTCTTGTTCTGGGTAATTTCAATCCTTGTCTATTTTGTGCTGCACTGATTTGTAATAGAATTGAAGAAATAACATTGAATGAATGTGTTCTGTTTGACCAGGAAACAGCAGGGCTTGCAAGAACACCGCCTTGAGGGTGGATGAACTGAAATTTGAGCAGTACAAGCTTATGGTTGGACCTCGTATCTCTGATGGCGTCAATCTGCAAATGCAGAACTGTCTGGAGAAGATTAGAACTTTAGATAACTGATTTGGTTGAATTTTGAATTTTATTTCATATTGTTCTCATTTGATGTGGCTCAGCCCCTCTTCAGGTGTGTTTTTGCTACCGTAGTCTGGCTCTTTATATGGGTATGATTTTCGAATCTTTCATATTAGGAAAAAAGATGTTTAATTCTGAAAATATTGAAGGCATTCTTAAGTTAGATATACGCAAGGAATAGAGACATGTCGAGAATGTCTCCAAGATTGTGTCAACTAGTTTTCTAAGCGTATTTTAGATATTTGTGACATGTTCAAAATAGACAAGGTAGAAATCCATGGTGGAGAGTATCATTGTCCATTGAGACTTTGAATGCCTATAGAAGGTGGGTATCCCAAGCCTTCCAAGTCGAATCGGACAAACTCAGAAGTTGAATATGAGACCGTAGAAGTTAAAACACCACTAGTCAAAAAGCATTAAAAATTTAAGCATGGAAGCTCTAGAGTATTTATCTCCTCTCTGGAAGAAAGTGAGAGAGACTGAAGAGCTAGTGGAATAGGATCTTATATACGTTTAGGTTGGGTTAACCACAAATTGACAAAGAGCACTATGGTTGACTTTGAGCTCATTCACAACTTCATGCAAGAGATTGAAGTGAAACACTTGAATTGAATTCCCATCAAACTGCAAATTTGAAGTGGACAAACCGTTTTTTTGTTTGTCAAGGTGGATGACTTTGATGTCGTGTTAGAGATGAATTTCTACTCGAACACAAGTTATTCCCATGTCCTAATATTATGATTGCATAACAACACATACTCGATTTAGATGAACACAAAGAACAAGAGAGAGAAAATGAAGAATATTGGCTAAAAGTTTTATAGTGAGGACTTGAGCTATGTACAGAGACAATATAGAGAATATAGAAAATACATCTTCAAACCATTTACTCAGTTTCCTATATATAGCTTTATCATCATATAGTTTTACTCTAGAAGCTCCCTAACCCAACAGGTAGAGAAATATTTAGTGGTTAACTGATCCAATCCTATTGTTGTTCAAACTAATACCTGACAATCAAAATGGGTGAAAATGGTTACAATTGTGATGAGATTCCACTCATGATGAACCCATGCTCATTATCATTTCGATGATTGAAGAGGAGAGCTCGAGTGAGCTTATGACAATAGAGATCCAATGGTTGCAAAAGAAACATGGCGATGCATGGAAGAAAGTCAAACTAAGGGTTTATCTCTATCTATAGGGATAAATCACTAAATTGAATTATTACTAAGAATGAGACTGCTCGTCAACAATGTGTGTCATTTGGCTCAATCCGAGTTAGTTGAATTTCATAAACAGCTAAATGACTTGTTAAATGTCAAGTTTATTAGACTGACAAAGGCTTAGTCAATCATCATCTGTTATTGGGGAGAGAGCCTGAGCCTAAAACTTCACCAAAGAATGGAGACAAACCTTTGAAGTCGCTCATTCAAGGGGCTAGTCAATAACGCAGTCCACACAAATTTAAAAATGGAGATAAAGTTCTAATCAAGTTGAAATAAGACCAACTTCGATTCTTAAGAATTAACCATTGATACTAGAAATAATTTTAGACCAATCAAAGTCATTTAGAAGGTTGAGAAGGTATCATACAAGGTTAAATTGCTCCCTTGAATGAACGCTAACCTTATTGTCTATGTTAATAACTTGAAACGTTACAACCCTGATCACAAAAACATCAGAACAATGAGGTGACACGAGCTCCTACAATGATGAAGAACCCTATTGAGAATGAAGTAGAAGGGATCTTGACTGAGAAGATACAAAAAATTGACAAATTGAGAAGAGATGTACAAGAGTTCCTGGTAAATTGGAAGAGATTCTCTGGTGTTGAGATCAATTGAAAACGTGTCGAAAGACATGAAGTACTAACCACAATATGTATTCCTGAGTTTGGTGTTAAGACATATTGCCTTTGACCTCGTGACCATTCCAAATCTCTTTTTATCTTGCTTTCATATTAATTAATTTTTGTGTATGACTCTTGTCATTTTGATGTTTTCCTCAAAATGTAGTATAAGGGATGCAACTAGTTGTCAATTCTTATAATCTGGGTTATATGTTATTAATGTTGTCGTTGCTGCTTATTGCATGCGATCCTATAACATTCTTTTCTTAATCCTAAGAGTGAAGTTGAAAGTTTGGGCATATGTCGTCCAAGCCAACAGTGACCCAAATTTTAGTTGGCTGACTCACTCTACGAGCAAGTGTGAGTACCTCACATCACACTATTGAGTTTCAAATAAGTGCAATTGTGGCAACAAACAATCGCAACCTCGTAAAGACATCAGTTAAACCTTAAGATTCGAGAAAATTAATTTAGTGAAGTATTACTGTCTACAACAATGTATTTCAAAGTTTACCCTTTTTATTTATTTATTTATTTATTTATGTAGTTTGAAGGTTCATATATACTTTTTATACTAAATATATTCTTCCCTTTATCAAAATTTTAGTCCAATTTAAAAAATAAATATAAAATTTTGGAAAAATATTTTTTAGTTTTAAAATTTTAATTTAATTTCTAAAAATCATAGATAACAAATAAATAAATAAGATAATTTATTCGTGAAATTAATATTTATAAATTTGATTAAAAAATATTAAAACTTGAGCAGGATCTTCTTCATAATATAAAATTGTGGATTTTGTTCTTCTTTTTTTTTTTATGATCTTTGACCCCAAAAAAATCGTATTTAAATGGAAAAATGATATGAACCAAGAGACATCAATCATACAAGATGATTCAATGAAGATGTGAAGAAAATATTGTTGAAATTATCAAAAGATATTTTAATTCATGGAGAAGAAGAATGAAGTTTCATATTTTAAATTTTGGGTGGATTACAATTTAGAGTAATTTAGAGTTATTGTATTTTATTAATGTATTTTAAGACTTTTAATTTACTCTAGGTTACAATTACATAATGGTTAATTAAGGCCATTACCATTATTAAGGCCATGAATGTTACCACTCTTGGATAGATTTTTTCATTTCTATGTAAAGCCATGTATGTTGTATCTGTAAGTAGACTTGTAAAATATAGTCAAAGAAGCATTTGTGCTCTTCTCTAGTCCATGACTAAGTTTCTTTGCAATAAAATAGAGTAAAAGAAGCATTTGTGCTCTTCTTTAGCCAATGACTAAGTTTCTTTGCAATTCGATGTAGTTTAGGTTGCATGTAGAATCATTTAAGCTCGACATGATCCATCTTACTTGTGGAGTGATTCGAATCTTAAACAATGTTCTTGCATTGGGATATTCAATCAACAAGGCTTACTCCCGTTGTAGTGGTTCCTTATCTTATCATAAGTTATTTAAAATTCTACTCTACATGAATTTAAAAATTGACATATAAACCCATCCACATGAATTGATTCAAACCCATTGTTCATCTTCATGGGAATATGAAGGAAAGTCGCGTGATGAACACGCGGCATAAAGAAGAAGAAAAGTCCACCAAAGTGAGGGATTGAAGAGTTCAAAAGAAGAAAATGATATGAAATTAGTATTAGTAAGCATGATGGAGGGGAGGGTGGGGCGAGGCTTCTCGGGGACTTTGACCACACACCCGCTTGCCTATGCTCATGCTTATGCTTATGCTTATGCCGCAGACTTCTTCCTCTCTTTTGATTTTTGTAAGCTGCCTTCCCTGACTTTCCTCTCCACTTGCCTTTTCTCCCATTCCCATTTCCCCTTTCTTCAATCGCTTCAACATCATCACCTCGGAGTTTCAATCTCCCTTTCTTCTACATCCATCTACGCTTCCCAATTCTTTCCTGGTTCGTCTTTTCCTTTAATTTACTACGTTTTTACCCCTTTTTCTATCTGGGTTTCTTATAGATCTTCAACACCACTTTACTGGACTTGATTTAGTGTTTCTTCTTTGTGTGTAATCATTGTGTTTGGGTGTTTTGAGGATGGAAATTAATTTTTTACAATATGGGTTTTGGTGATGCCTTCATAATTCTTCTTCTTCATGTGTTTGTTTCGATTTTCGATCTTTGAACTCTGTTGTTTAATGCCTATGGTGGATGGAATGGAGCTTCAAATTGATTGACATTTGTTTCATTAGGGGTTTAGATTAAAATTGTGGACGCAGGACAAATATAGTTTGGTTTGTTTTTGTACACAATGGGTGGAGTTTGTTCAAGAACAAGAACCACTTCTGATGATGTTGGTAGCAGTAACGGTGGTGGAGGGGTTGGTGATTCTAACAATGAGTTGGGCATGGTTCATCATACTTGTGGACTGCCCTCCAAAATTAGTGATTCCACCCCTGCTGTTGCTGTTGCTGATGGCATGAATAAGGCGTTACGAGAACCATTTTCGTTCCCGGAGGTGAATGCGGTGGTTCCATATGGATTGGACGATATCAATGATGGAATTCCTCGCTTATCTCGAACGTTATCTCAGAAATCTAGATCAACCAAGTCGAGACAAGCTGTTGCAAAGGTAATAGTACCTACATTTTGCTTGCAACTCTACAATGGAAGAGTTTAATAAATGAATTGCGTTTGTAATATTAGGTTTCAGAAATGAGCTCTCTTCTAGGCAGAGCGGGTACTGTTGGGCTAGGAAAGGCTGTTGATGTTTTGGATACACTTGGCAGTAGTGTGACAAGTTTGAATCTTGGTGGTGGTTTCACCTCAGGGGTGACAACAAAAGGGAACAAAATTTTAATCTTAGCTTTTGAAGTTGCCAACACCATTGTGAAGGGTTCTAGTCTAATGCAGTCGCTCTCGAAACGTAACATCGAAGTTTTGAAGGAGGAAGTGCTTCCATCAGAAGGGGTCCAAAATTTGATATCAAGAGACATGGATGAACTCTTGAGAATTGCAGCAGCAGACAAGAGGTGTTGTTAGTTACTTCAATATTCTATTTGGATCATTATTTGAACTCAAAACTCTGAAAAATATTAATTCTCTTCTGTGAATTCTGGCAGAGAAGAACTGAAAGTTTTCACTTGTGAAGTGATTCGCTTCGGAAATCGTTGTAAAGATCCTCAATGGCACAATTTGCATCGCTATTTTGATAAGTAACGTCTGATGGAATCCTAGCCTCCCGTTTTCCTGGTTTCTATATTATAATAGCGTTCGATGTCGTGTTGTGTTTGATTATTGTATACTCAGGTTAGGTTCAGAAGTTACACCACAAAAGCAATTGAAGGAAGATGCTGAGGCAGTGATGCAGCAGTTGATGACATTTGTACAGTACACAGCAGTGAGTATATATCTATCTTTACTGTTGTGAAGTATGTTGCTTAAAAGACAACAAAATACTCTCTTTGTTTGCAGGAACTTTATCATGAATTACAAGCCTTGGACAGATTTGAACAAGATTACCGGCGCAAGCTTCAAGAGGAGGATAGTTCGAACACGACGCAAAGAGGTAATTAGTGACTTCAATTATGTAGTTATGAAGCTGAATTTCTCCTAGTTTGATCACTTTGTTGCATACTATTTCGGCATACAGGAGATAGCATTTCGATCTTAAAGGCGGAGTTAAAGAACCAAAAGAAGCATGTCAGAGGTTTGAAGAAGAGATCTCTCTGGTCCAGGATTCTCGAAGAGGTACCAAGTTCTGTTGTTTATACCTCGTCATATCGTGTATGTAATTAAATGGATATTATGCGTGAATTCATTGGGAAGTTACCATCTCATGTACTTACAAATATGGAGTTATGGGAAGAGTAAGATAATATAATGAATGTATTCACAGGTGATGGAGAAGCTTGTGGACATAGTGCATTACTTACATTTGGAGATTCATGAAGCCTTTGGTAGTGCCGGTACGCATTTAAAACGTTGGATAACTTGTACATAATTTAGAAATTGCTTGTTAGGTTATGGAGCATGCTGCATTTTTATAGCTTTGTCAACGGTTATATCATAGATAGTTATATGTAGTAATGTTATATATGTGGAGTCTGCAGCTTATTTATAGCTTAGTCAACGGTTATATGGTTGATAGTTATATACAGTAGATGATTATATCTGGTAAAGCTATATATATTAAACTGAACCATATATATCTCATCAAGCAGAGCTTTGAAAATGTACTCTCTTCCTTCTCTGTATTCTTTCTTAGTTTACATACCTGAAGTCATTAATAAAATCCTTAGCCAATATTCCTCTTTGCATTTTCTCTCTCCTGTTCTCATGTTCATCTGGATCGAGTATGCGTGTTGTTGTGCGATCCTAACATTCCTAGAGGATATTGAATGCTCAGCACTTTGTTCATTTTAGTATATTTTTGCTCTTGGATGTTGTAGATGATGAAAAGCCAGCCAAAGGTTCTCAGAATAGCCACAAAAAGTTAGGGACGGCTGGTCTCGCTTTGCATTATGCAAATATCGTTAGTCAAATCGATACACTTGTGAGTATCAGCTTCCAAATTCAAATTTTTTGCAAGTTTTTGTTCCGAAAATATTCTGAATTAGCATACGTTCTTGAATCAGGTATCTCGTTCGAGTTCCGTACCTCCTAACACAAGGGATGCTTTATATCACGGACTACCTCCCAGTATAAAGTCGGCATTACGCTTAAAACTACAGACGTTTCAGCCCAAAGAAGAGGTATTTGTGAATTTTACTAAAAACATTACTGATTATGATGTTTTGTTAGAACATATTAATTTTGTGGATTGGTTGTTGCAGCTTACAATTCCTCAAATCAAAGCCGAGATGGAGAAAACTTTGCATTGGCTTGTTCCCATTGCCAATAACACTACCAAGTACAGCTGCTTCCCTTTGATATACAGCTTACAATTATTATTCTTGAGCTTCATACACATTCTTTTCTTCTTGTTCTTCAGGGCTCATCACGGTTTCGGTTGGGTTGGAGAATGGGCGAATTCCGGGTGGGTTATCAACATCCTATGCTGCTCTTTTATATTCCCCTACTTTTTCTTTAATTTAATGGAAGAATCTGTTGTTTCAGGGCCGAAACAAACCGAAAACCTTCTGGCCAGAGCGAGTTACTAAGGATCGAGACACTCTATCATGCAGATAAAGGAAAAACGGAGTCCTACATCCTTGAACTGGTGTTATGGCTTCACCATCTGATCAGACAAGCTAGAGCTTGTAATACTGGAATAAGGTCTCCTGTTAAATCACCAATTAGATCTCCGAACCAACAAACGATTCATTTATCGAACCAGAAACCAAATTCTCCATCCTCGACGTTGACGGTAGAAGACCAGGAAATGCTTCAATATGTGAGCAAAAGGAAACTTACCCCGGGAATAAGTAAGAGTCAGGAATTTGATTCAGCAAAAACCAGGTTAAGTAAGTACCATAGGCTAAGTAAAAGCAGCAACCATTCCCCAACCAATGAAACCAAGCAGGATCCGTCCACCCTTCGGAGGCCGAACTCCATCCCGATTATTGATTTTGACATCGACCGTATGAAAGCTCTGGATGTCATCGATAGAGTCGATAATATTCGAAGCGTTTCATAATCGGGGATCGAAGAGCAAGACTTGTTTTTTGGATATGAAAATATGTATGGATGATAGCATGTTTTGATGTGAGAGGACAGATTTAAAGTAGTTGTAGAAATTGTGAGGGGGGTTTTGTGAATACAAATACTTTTATTATTTCATAATAATTCAAAGTTATTTGGATCCCTTTTCCTCCTCCTCCTCATATCATTTCATAAACATTTCGCACATATTAAGCATATGGCACGTGCAGAACCATAGGACACGTGTTATCATACAATCATAAACTTCTAACTATGCTCATAGTAATATCGCTTACTTTATTGACTTAGGCTGAAGCTACTACGACTCCTTGATGCTAGCTTAACGCTGCTCTCTGAAATTTAATTATAACTAAAAAGTTTCATAATTATAAATGGGCTCTCTATACATCGTGCAGTTGGAGGCTATCCTAATCCAAGATGAGCTCATGGTTAGTAAGACGGTTATCTCAAGATAAATTTTAAGACAACCCTGGATCATGATGCTACGTAAAACCAAGAAATAAGTTTCAATTAACAAAATGCTGTACTAAGGCTTCAAAGTCGAACAAATAAATATTAGTTAGCCTTTGATTTTCAAGTAATTAATATACTACCTCAAGGACATTAATCAAGTTAAGCATGTTTACCACACGACCACGCCCTAAAGTACCCAAACCTGAGAATGACAAGACAATAAATTTTCTAGGTACCACTCATGATACAAGAACCAAAGACATGGATAAGAATAAGACAAGGAAAAGGGGTACCCTACTATACATTAAGAATCCGATTAAAACCCGGCAAGTAGGCTACTTACTAAGGTTTTTGTACTCACTCCAAGTTTTCTATGTTTTTAGGTAAATAAGGAGCTAATCGAGATCGGAAACGGACTCTAGAGTAGGTGGCATAGACAAGTCTACTATTTATTTTGTATTTTAAACTACTTATGTATGAACTATATTTTGAAATAATTATGTTTTAAATATCTTGTACGAAAAATTTGTCTTTACACCATTAAGTCAAACTTAAGTTGCAGCTCGTGAAAGTCGAGTTGTGACAAGATGAGCTTTCCACTTGTTTGATGTCTCATTGTCTATCTGCACGTGAGGCCACATCCTACTCTCTTCTTAATACGATTGTAACACGTACCAATTAAGCATCAATTCAATTAAAATAGCGTTCTCAAAGATTATAATTAAGAGATAAAAAGAACATTATATCATAAAAGGAATATATAAAGAGAGTTTTCAAAACTCACATCATTGCCATGGAAATATAACCAGCCTTTGAATAAAAAAATACGAATTCTAACTACTTATCGTGACCATACATAAAAGTTCGATCGAAATCAAGAATAGAATCGCCGGTTGCGGATTTAAATATAAGTAATTAAAAAATGAATTTCAGTTTTTAGGTTTATATATAAATATATATATTTGTTTATATGTAGCCTTTAAATAATTTTAAATTTCTTTTTCTAACTAATATATTTTAGTTAATAATTTAAACAAATGCTTCCGCGATATAATTCGTAACCGATCAATAATTCTTCTCAACGGTCGTCTTTTCAAAATATTTAAAATGCAAAACCACAGAAACCAAAATTTCAAACGATATAACATCCGATCATCCCATCTCTCTCCTATCTCTCCCACAGGGCGCACACAAAATTTGAAACCATTTCCTCTCCTTCTCTCTCAAGAAACAAAATCGAAGAATCCCAGCTGGTTCTTCAAAAATGGCGTACAAGGAAGAGGAAAAAATCCCAGTCTTTACCGTCCTCAAGAACGGCGCGATTCTCAAGAACCTCTTCCTAGTGAACAATGTTACAGATCGAGAGAACGAGGAGACAATAGTTCTCGGAAGACACCCAGATTGCAACATAATGCTTACTCATCCAAGCATTAGTAGATTCCATCTTCAAATCCATTTGAATCCCTCTTTGCTCAAGGTTTTTGTTGTGGATTTATCATCAGGTAATTCTAAATTAATAATGCGATTTTCCGTTTCTTGCTCATTTCATCGATTCTTGGGCTCTAATGGATTGTGGGTCTTGTTTAGTCCACGGAACGTGGGTTTCAGGGAAGAGGATTGAAGCAGGGGCTAGAGTGGAGATGAGGGAAGGGGATACTCTCAGTGTTGGTGGCTCCAGCAGAGTTTATAAGCTTCATTGGGTTCCTTTGAGAGATGCTTATGATTTTGAATGTCCTAAAGAAAAGAAGGAAGAGGAACTTGCAATTATAGAAGAGAAGGCTGTGGAGGATTGCGAGGTAATGTCTGCCTGTAAGGTGTTTGTGAAAATGTTTCTGGGTACTTCGAACATTTAATAGGTAACTGAGGTCTAAGATTATGTAATAAATCCCTAAATTTCATTTTTGCATTCCTTATATGCCTGTCATAACATTTTTAGTGAGACACAAAATTGAAAATTTATGAAATTATTAGGAAAAGTTCATATAAATACATACAAACTTAAAAGTCATTTAACTTTTTTTTTTTTTTACTTACAAAGACATGGTTTGATATTACATAGAAGAATGGAGCTAGTTTGTTTAAATTTGAAGTGTTTTCTCTTGTTCTTATTAAATGGACTGTTCTACAGAAGGAGATCTCATTATCAGATGAAAATAAAGAAACTGTGGAGGATTCAGTTTCTGATTCTATTGTGCCTTTTTATTCTGATGAGAATTGGAACATGGAGTTGATAAAGGAAGTCAGTGTAGCACCTCTATCTGGAGAAGTTGAAGGCATGGTTGTGTCTTCTTTCAATGAATGTGGAAAGGAGGAAACTAGTTTGTTTAGCATACCTTTTGGAAATGAACTGAAAAGCTTGGAAATGAGCCTTCAATCCCCTTGTCTGCCACTTTCAGCTGATAATCTGTCATTTAATGTTGAAAACATTATCATGTCTTCAATCTTTGATAGTGAAACCGAGAGTTCCTCTTGTAATATGTTTGAGTGGGAGGAAACTAATTCAAACATTTTTCCTGTGGTTGATGTTATTACCACTTCAGAGAATGGATATCAACAATTAGACAACGAAAAGGAGAGCCTGCAACCCCCTTCCATGTCTCCTTGCGAAGGGAATTTTTCTGATATTGAAGACACTGCCATGATTGCATTTGCTGGTGGCAAATACGAGAGCTCATCTAGAAATGAGTTTGAACAGATAGAAATTAGTAATGTAGCTGTGGTTGATGATGAGAAGCCTCAACCATTCGACACTGAAAGTCGACAAGTTCTTGCAGAGAGGAATTCGTCCTCAAACGTCGGAGATGGTGTAGAAATCCAATATCTACCACCAGATCAAAAAGTAAAATCAGAAACTTCCACAGAAAAGATTGAGTTCATGGAGGAACATGAGCTGCATCCTCTAGATGACAATCGCTCTTCAATTAGCACAGAAAAATGCCTTCAGGAAGTGGAAATGCTAAGCAAAATCCAAACAAAAATTGAGGAAGATTATGCAGATGAAAGAAATGAAGAGTTATATAAGGTAACAGAGTGTCTTCTGGATTGCCAAGCACAATATAAGAATGACAGCTCTATGAAGACCACTTCTGAGGTAACACCAAACTTGCCAACGAAGCAGAATGTTGAACGTTGTGTTGAAGAGAAATATAATGCAAGACTAGAAACATTTGAACCGAGCAAAAGTGTAGCAGAGAAAGATTATGAACATAAGGAACTCTCAGAGCCCAGTTTTGTACCTTCTGCAACAGACTGGTCGAAGATTGCAGTAAAGAACGAAATCCGGACACTACATGAAAATGTATCAGCCATGGGAGGAAGCATTTGGTTAAGAAGAGGTAAACCAACTGGTTTTCCTCGAGTTGAAATAAGAATGAGTCGAGAAAATCGAGCAGGGACTTCATTAATGGATGAAATGAGTTCTGAGATAACAGGAGATGAAACAGTGACAAGTACCCTTCTCTCTGATTTGGGTGGGGAGGAGGAAGAAGAAATGTTTACTCCAGACAAGGAGAATTTCACACCAAACACACTTTTGATGAAATCATTGAAGAAGAAGGCTACCATAGAAAGTAGTGGGGATTCCTTCAGGTCATCCAAGTCCCAAACATCAATTTTCAAGTCTAGACATAATGTGAAACAAGAAGAAGAGCTAAGTGAAGAATCAGACAAAGAGAACCAAACTTCTAGAGCTCTCCAAGAACAAAAACTGGCCAAACAAATCTCTAAGAATAGGAAGTTTGGAAAGGAAAAGTTATTGATAAAGAGAGGAGGAACGGAACGGGCGCCGTTCCAATCATTGCAGTCAAATTTGGCCGAAAAGAAGAGTCCGGAGGCTACTTCTGCCAGAAAGAGTAATATAGCTGTGTCGACAGGGGCCATGAAGGTCAGTTTATCAAATATTTATCACATGTTTGTAAATGATCCTATAAAGAACATAAGCTTAATAAGTGTTTCTTTGCAGAAAAAACTCACAGTAGGAAAGAAGCGTTGGACTATGGTTGTGGACATCAATTCTCTTCTGAACAAGGAATCAATGAAGTCACTACAGCGTTTACAAGGTCTCCAAGGGACACATTTGATCGTTCCGCGAATTGGTAACGAGTTCGACAAGTTTACACTTTTTCTGTGTGATCAAAGCTTTGTAATGTTCTCATGATTAATATAATCAATTCCTATTGGAATCAGTCATAAGGGAGCTGGATTGCTTGAGACGACACGGTCGCCTCTTCCGGAAAACGACAGAGGCAGCTTCAGTTCTTGAATGGATTGAAGATTGTATGGTGAAAACAAGATGGTGGATTGATGTTGAGTGTTGGGAAGAAGGCAGGCCTGCTGCAACACCTCCGGCTACTCCTCAAGCTCCATACACTGAGGAGAGCAGTGAGAGTTTGCTGTGGAGGACATCAAGCAAAATCCAGTCCATTGCTGCACAGAGAAGTTTGATGGAAGCTCTTTCACCAACTCCAGAAGATCATATCCTTGACTGTGCTCTTCACGCTAGGAGGAGGGCAGTGAATCGTGGACAACTTGTTGTGTTAAGCGATGATGTGACCCTGAAAATAAAAGCCATGGCTGAGGTACTCTACTATCACTATACTATACCATACCAGGGTTAGATTGTTATATCCCATATTAGTTGGGAAGGAGAACGAAACATCCTTAGGGTGTGGAAACCTTCTCCTAGCAAGACGCGTTTTAAAGCCTTGAGATGAAGTCCGAAAGGGAAAGTCTAAAGTGCTAGTAGTGGGCTTGGGCTTGGGCCGTTACACATAGCTACAAACATATTGAATTTTGTTGTTTTGTAGGGACTAATTTGTGAAACGGCCAAAGAATTCAGGGAGAGTTTAGTGAATCCATTTTCAGAGAGGTTCTTGTGGGCTGATAGCTCTCCAAGGGGACTTACTTGGTCTTGCCCTGATGATGTTGTCTTGAGGGAACGGTACGATCGATGCTCGTCAAGGTCGTCGAAAGGGTTGGAGGGAGCTAAGGGCCTGAAGCTCATTTTGCTTCACAACTCCCATTATGGAGCGTCCAGATAAGAGATTTCTGTTATCTCTTGTAACAACGGACTGACTCTATTTTGCACACTATTGGAAACTGCTGGTTTTTTAGTAAATTTTGCAATCAGTATGGAATTATATACCGTTTAGTAACATACTAAATTCTAAGGAAGGGAAAGATATTTTACTTAACTTTTGAGAATTCTCCACCACCTAAAGATACGATTTACCGATTCTCGTAGAGATTTTTGTCAAATAATATATTTAAATATCTAATATATTAGGATATAATATTTTATTTAAATATATAGTATATCTAAATATATATTTTACTCTTTTCTTATTCAAATTTCAAAATTTTTTTATTTAATATATATTTTACTCTTTTTGTAATTAAAATATCTAATATATTAAATATTAATTTGAATGCTTTAAATTAAATATTCTTTTTCAATTTATTTAATATATCTAATATATTAAATATTTGTTGGTTCACATTATTCTTTCCATTAAATTGAACTTTTAGAGCTAGCCAAGAGACCTTATGAACCTATAGATAAGTTCAAATAATACAATTTTAATTTATTAACTATAGGTCATTCACTAGATCTAGAGTTGCACTTGCCATAATCATTACAAACAACTCAATTCTTCATGAGTTGTTTGTAATTACGTCTAAATCAAAAATTCGTTTTACTCCTGTACGTACATCTTTCACTCTAAGTACCATTGATTTTCTAATAAACAATTTGTTTATGATCAAATCATAAACTAAGTCTCTCTCAGGCTAGAGAGGGTGAGGCTCCATTGTTCAAGTTTCGAAATCAGAAACAACTTATCTGCTTTCCTTATATTGAAATGAGTTACTTTCATCTCATGATATTATGTTTCGTGCTCCATATTTGGTCAAGTCTCCAAAATGGTAGACATTAAATTCTCAATTAATGGATTATAAAGAGAGATTAAATATTTCTTGGTTAAGTTAATACAAACTCATTGTATAGGATAACTCACATGTCTCTACATAAATGATTTGTATCAAATCCTTTGTAACAATTATTGTAGTATAGTGGTAAGTATTCTGATTTGTATCAAATCCTTTGTAACAATTATTGTAGTATAGTGGTAAGTATTCTTGACTATCACACGAGTCCCTAATTTCTTTTTTAGAGATTATTTGTTGTGTGGTTAGTGTGAATGTTTGATTAATCCACCACACCCAAATGGTGGTGAGAGTTCTCTTATTTATAATCATTTACAGAATACAGAAATAAGGTAAATTACAAACAATAAGGAAATAGCGATAAAAAGAAAGAATAATAAATGAATACAATATATTTGCATTTAGTAAAAGGGCAAATATGGTAACCCGTAATGTAGATATTTGCCTTATAATGAACGGTCAACTATCCTTAACACCCCCCCGCAAGCTGAGCGTCGGATTTGAACGAACATGAAGCTTGGATCTGAAAAATTCAAAGAGAGGTCGAGAAATACTCTTTGTGAAGATGTCAGCAACTTGGAGATGAGAGGGTACATATTGTGTACGAAGTTTGCCAGCGATAACAAGTTCTCGAAGGAAATGATAATCTAGTTCAACATGCTTGGCCCGCTTGTGAGAAACAGGATTAGAGCTCAAAAAAATAGCACTTTTGTTGTCACATAAGAGTAAGGGCTGCTGTGAAATAGGGACCTTAAGGTCATGCAAAAGATGCGTAACTCAAAGAAGTTCAGCAGCAGTTGTGGCAAGAGCACGATACTCAGATTCACAGCTGGAGCGTGATACAGTAGGTTGCTTTTTGGCACTCCAAGAAATGAGATTGTTACCAAGATAAATAGAATAGCCGGATGTAGAACGACGAGTATCGGGACAACCAGCCCAGTCAGCATCCGAATAAGCGACTAGCGTACTAGGAACAGTGGATGGACGAAAGATAAGACCAAAGTGGAGTGTTCCTTTGACATAGCGAAGAATACGTTTGACAGCAAGAAAGTAATCTGCAGTAGGGGCATGCAAGAATTGACTGACAAAATTGACAACATAGGCAATATCTGGATGCGTAATAGTCAAGTACTGAAGGGCGCCAACAAGAGATCTGTAGAGAGTAGGATCAGAGAAAGGAGAACCATCAGCAGTCAGGTGTTGAGAAACAACCATGGGAGTGTGAACTGGTTTGCTATCGAGCAACTGAGCACGAGTAAGAATATCTCGAGCATATTTTAACTGACTGATAAAGAGACCATCAGGAGTGGGTGAAGCTTCAAGACCAAGAAAGTAACTGAGAGAACCCAAATCTTTGGTAGCAAACTCAGAATGAAGCTTGCGAGTAAAGCTGTTAATAAGAGATGAGTTGTTGCCGGTAACAATAATGTCATCAACATAAAGAAGCAAATAGATAAGGTTAGATTGCTGATGAAAGACAAAAAGGGACGTGTCAGCGCGACTGCAAGAAAACCCAAGTGTGAGAAGAAATGAGCTAAAACACTGAAACCAAGCACGAGGAGCTTGTTTTAAGCCATAGAGAGCTTTCTTTAATAGACAAACATGCATAGGAAATCGAGGATCAACATACCCAGGAGGTTGTTCAATATGAACACGTTCAATAAGCGTTCCATTGAGAAAAGCATTCTTGACATCAAGTTGTCGAAGAGGCCATTTATTTGTGACTGCAATAGAAAGCACAACACGGACAGTGGTAACTTTGACAACCGGACTGAAAGTGTCAGTGTAGTCAAGACCAGGAACCTGAGTATAACCTTTGGCAACGAGACGAGCCTTGAAACGCTCGACGGATCCATCGGGCAAATATTTAATACGAAACACCCATTTAGAGCCCACGATGTTGGTGTTGGCAGGGCGAGGAACCAAAGTCCAAGTATCATTTTGTTGTAACGCTCGAATTTCTTCATCCATGGCAGCCACCCAAGTAAGATTCTTAGCCGCAGATTTGAATCCTTTTGGCTCAGTGGATGCAAGAAGAGCAGAGAGAAGTCCAGATGAGCCCAACATACCAAGATTTGCTGGATGACGAGTCTTGAATATACCAGCTTTGGCGCGTGTGATCATAGGATGAGTGCCCAAAGAAGAGAAATCAACAGGAGGTTCAATAGAGGTTGAATTAGAAGTCGAGGGTGGCAAAGTGGAACCTGCAAGAGAAGTATCAACCTGCACAGACTCATCTACAAGGTCAGAACAAATATCACACGGGGATGAACTGGATTGAGGAATGTGCGGTGATAAAGTGGTAGGGGGGGATGAATCAATATGATGAAGATGTGGTTCCAAGAAATTTGAAATAGGAATAGTGGAAAGAGGTTGGGCTTGGGAGCTAGGGATAGCAGGAAAGTGAGTTTCATCAAATTGAGCATGGCAGGTGATATATAGCTTAGTGGTGGTGGGATCAAGACAGCGGAACCCTTTATGAACAGGACTATAACCCAAAAAAATACAAGGAATGCTGCGGGGAGAAAGCTTGTTAGGCATATAATCACGCAAATAAGGATAAACACGACAACCAAAGGGATGAAAATTGTCATAATGTGGAGTGTAGCCATAAAGGAGTTCAAAGAGTGACTTACCTCCAAGAAGTGGAGTAGGCAACCGGTTGATAATATAAGCTGCAGTGCTGAAGGCGTCAACCCAAAAACGAGGAGAAAGATGAGAGTGAACGAGAAGGGCCAAGCCAGTCTCAGTCACATGACGATATTTTCTCTCAACACGACCATTTTGAGCAGGTGTATATGGACAAGAGAGTTGATGGTGGATGCCAGAATTACGTAAATGAGTTTTGAAACAAGTACTAGTAAATTTGGTACCACCATCGCTTTGAAATACCTTGATACGAGAAGAATATTGATTTTCCACAAATTTTTGAAATTGAAGAAAAATATCAAAAAAATCATATTTAAATTTTAAAGGGTAAAACCAAGTGAATCGAGAATAATCATCAATAAAAATAGCATAATAAAGAAAACCTGAATTTGATTTGACGGGAGAAGAACCCCAAAGATCACAATGAATAAGATCTAACACATGAGACGACCTACGTTCATTGCGGGAATAAGGCAATCGATGACTTTTCACAAGCTGACAAGTATTACATAATGATGGAGAAGGCAATAAAGACGTAAGAGAAAGATGACCTTTTTTATTTAAAAAAGAAATAACAGAATGATTCACATGACCCAAACGAGCATGCCATAAATCATATGAAGCACGTAAAGATTTGTTTTTAAGGGCTGAAATAAAAGCAGAGTTGCCGCGCTCCAGCACATATAGCCCTCCATCTCTTTTACCGGTTGCCACCACCCTTCCTGTTTGATGATTCTGGATAGTAATAAGATTATTAGTAAATGTAACGGAGAGAGGAAAATCAGACGTTAACCCGCGATAGAACATGACGTGTTAAAGGCTTCAGCAAGGTGAGCATGAGAAGAATCAGGTCGAACATACCGTTGGTTGCAGCGGTCAGCATAATGGCCCTCTTTGCGGCATATTTGGCAATGAGGTGGTCGACGACCCTGACTTGAGTGGGTTCGTCCTCGATTAGAAGAGTTGTTTTTGTGAGAATAAGAACGACCTCGCTGGTTGGTAAAGGAAGCAGGGTGACTTTCATGGGTGCGACCACGATTAGTGGCTATGAATGCTGTAGGAGTGGAGTCAGAGAACTCAAGGGAGCGCTGGAACAACTCAAAACTTTCAGTTTTAGAGACTAGATCTGCAAAACAGGAGATAGGGGTGAGAGCCATCTGAGCAATAGAAAAAGTTGAAAATTCGGTGCCGAGTCCACGAAGGAACCAGTGCACTTTATCAATGTCCTCGACGGGTCTGCCAATGGCATGAAGTTGGTCACAAATTTTTTTGAAGGCACGGGCATACTCAGCAACAGGTTTTGTGCCACGTTTCATCAACTGCAAGTCATCCTTGAGTCTCAGTTCACGAGCTTTTGACTGATGGCTGAACGTAGTTTCCAACGCAAGCCAAACATCACGTGCAGTAGAGAGACCAACGACAACAACCATGGCTTCCTCAGTGAGAGAGGAGAGCAGGAGACAGAGAAGTCGTTGATCGACTGCTCTCCATGCCAAATATTTGGGGTTGAATGTTGAGGAGGTTTCTGGTTCAAAGCGAGGTGG